TGCCTCCAGGTCTTTCATCACTTCCTCCCCCTTTTTTTTTTCATAAGATTCCCTGTGCTCTGCCCAACGTTTGGCTATGATGTGTCTCTGCATCTGCTTTAAAACCGTGCTGGACAGAGTCTTTCAGAGGCCCTCTGTGGTAGCATGCTGTCCTGTTCCCTGTTTTCCCCCTCTTCCCATTTCCATACTGTTTGCCTTTCTAAATGAAGATGGATCGTGTTATGCAGGGTCTGCCTTCTTCCTTAGCTTCTTCAGGTTTACAGATTTTAGTATTTTATATGTCTAATATCCACTTGTGTCTAATTTTATGTTGAGATCTTTGATCCACTTGAACTTAAGTTTTTTGCAGGGTGATAAATATGGATCAATTTGCATTTTTCTACATGTAGCTTTCCAGTTAGACTAGCACCATTGGTTAAAGATGCTGTCTTTTAAACATTTTATGGTTTTGGCATCTTTGCCAAAAAGTCAAGTATCCGAAGGTGTGCGGGTTTATTTCTGGGTCTTCTAATCAATTCCTTTGATGCATCATTCTGTTTCCATGCAGGTAGCATGCAGTTTTTATTACTATAACTCTGTAGTACAGTTTGTGATTAGGGATGTAGATAGTTCCAGGCGATCCATTGTTATACAGGATTGTTTTATCAATTCTGTTTGTTTGTTTTCCTGTATGAAATTAAGTATTGTTCTTTCAAGTTCTATAAAGAATTTTGTTGGTACTTTGATGAGAATTGCATTGAATGGATTGCTTTTGTCAGGATGGCCATTTTCACTATGTTAATTTACCAATCAATGAGCATAGGAGAACTTTCTGTCTTCTGATAGCTTCTTCGATTTCTTTCTTCAGAGACTTGAAGTTTTTTTTTAAACAGGTTTTTTTTGTGTGTGTGTGTGGTTGGATAAAAAATATTTATTATTAAGTTATCCTTTAATAAAGCAGCAGTTATTCCTAAACAGCTGTATGACCAAATCACCACACAGAGACTAGGATCTATTTATTTATTTATTTATTTATCTGTTTATTTATTTATTTATTTATTTATTCATGAATAGTCCTAGTACTGGTTTTATTTTTTTTTCCTTTTTTTAACTTTTATTAATTACACTTTATTCATTTTGTATCTCCCCATAAGCCCCTCCCTCCTCCCCTCCCGGTCCCACCCTTCCCCCCTTTCTGCATGCATGCCCTCCCCAAGTCCACTGATAGGGGAGGTCCTCCTCTCCTTCTTTCTGATCTTAGTCTATAAGTTCTCATCAGAAGTGGCTGCATTGTCAGGGTTCTAGGTTATCTCCACGGATAGTCCTTGGTTGGAGTATGAGTCTCTGGGAAGTTCCCTGTGTTCAAATTATCTTGTTCTGTTGCTCTCCTTGTGGAGTTCCTGTCCTCTCCAGCTCTTACTATTTCCCACTTCTTACATAAAATTCCATTCACTCTGCCCATCAGTTGGCCATCAGGCTCAGCATCTGCTTTGACAGTCTGCATGGCAGAGGCTTTCAGAGGTCCTCTGTGGCAGGTTCCTAGGTTGTTTCCTGTTTTCTTTTTCTTCTGATGTCCATCCTCTTTGCCTTTCAGGATGGGGATTGAACATTTTAGTTAGGGTCCTCTCTTTTGCTTAGTTTGTTTAGATGTACAGATTTTAGTGGGTTTATTTAATTAACCTAGAGCACAATGCTGGGCAATAGTTGTTCCATACTAAACCTCCAATCCTGCATAGTTTCCTTCCATTAACCCATTATACTTGCTTTTAGTGATTTCTTAGGTCCAGTTCATTTCTCCACGTGATTCCAAGATCTCTCCTCCAGATTCTCCTCCTCTACATCCCCTGCTTCCTTCCTCTTCCTCCCACTCCAGACCAGGATAACCCACCCCTATGCTCTCCATTACTCAGCAATGTGGCTGGTTGTTTTCACTGACAATTTAGAGAACAAATGGTGGCATGTTTACACAAACTTGAGACAGGTGATGCTTAGAACAACTATCACAGTGCAATGTCTGGATTGAAATCAGATAGTGGGGGAGTGAAATTAGCATTTGAATGAACAAGGGTAGATTGTATACATTCCAAAAGAATATTATACCAACACACTTGCTTAGTTAGAGTCACAGCAAGGTGCTTTATGTTATTAGTGGCTATTGTGAAGGATGTAGTTTCCTTAATTTCTTTTTCAGCCCTTTTATTTTTGTACACAGGAGGGCTACTGATTTTGTTTTTGTTTTTTTTTTTTGTTTTGTTTTTTTTTTTTTTGAGTTTATTTTGTATCCATCCATGTTACTGAACAGTTTTATCAGCTGAAGGAGTTCTCTGGCTGAATTTTTTGGGTCACTCATGTAAACTACCATATTGTCAGAAAATAGTGATACTTTGACTTCTTCCTTTCAAATTTTGTGGCATACAGACTTTGAAAGATCCCCGGAGGGTATCTTTCGTCTGAGACACCCCTGCCCAAGGATCAACGAGTCCAGGCGTTCGGATGCAAACAGCAAGAGGCTTTTATTGGATACTCGGGTACCCGGGGCGAAAAGTCATTCAGGAGACTTTCGCGCCCCCTTGGTGGAAAGCTGGGGTTTTTATAGGGTTTTAGAGCTGAAGCGTGGGTACAGAAGTGAGAAGCATGGTTACAGGGGACCGATTGGTACGTTTACATGAGACCGCAGTTTGCGTCAAAGTTTGGCAGGGACGCCAGGATTCCAGGAACTGGGTGGTCAAAACGGTCATGATGACCCCTTAACGTGGCCCGCCACCTGTTATTTTGTTTTTCCCTATCTCAGCTGGAGCAATCTCTGACAGATATCCCATGAGGGTGGTCACAAGAAGTTGTTTTTAGCTCAACAGGGGCAGCCTGACCGCAGATATCCCAAGTGGGTGACACAGCTGGGTCTCTTAGTAATTTTCCAGCTTTTCATCTGGCCTTCAGAGTTTTACAAAACAGTGGTGTCCCACAAAATGGCGTTAGCTATGTTTAACTTAGGGTGAGGCAGGGGTCTTTCATTCCCCCATTTTCTTTTAACGTAGAATGGACTCTTTCATTCTCGGGCCTGGGAAGAGTTAACTTCTGTCTCCTGCTGTTTGAGCTGATGATATTGTTGGGTTAACACCAACGCTTGTATGACAGAGAGCCGGTCTTTCATGAACTGGATCAGCCAATTTAGAATACAAGGCCCGAATAACAAGATCAAGAGGATTATAATTAAGGGGCCCATGAGAGTGGAAACGAGGGTCATAAACCAGGGGGCTCTATTGAACCATTTTTAGTACCAGCTCTGTCCCTCTGTGAAGAGTTTTTGTCTCTGGCTGAGTCTCTCCCTAAGCTTGGCCATATTGTCTCTAACTACGCCTGTATGGTCAGCATAAAAGCAACATTCTTCTTTTAGGGCTGCACATAATCCTCCTTCTTGTAGGAAGAGGATATCTAGCCCCCTTCTGTTCTGTAAAACTACCTCTGACAGAGAGATCAAGGATTTTTCTAGAGCACTTACTGATTCTTCTAAGGCCTGTAAGTCGGTATGCATAGCCTGTTGTAGTTGTTGGAATTGAGTAGTTGCTGTTAAAGCGGTGGCTCCGGTCCCAATTCCGGCGGCAATGCCTCCGACTGTTAGTCCCCCCAGCATTATTGCCAGAGTCAAAGACACGGGTTCCCTGCGATACCGAATTCTTTCCTCAAAGTGTCTGTAAACATAGTCTGGTTCATGATATACTATTTTAGGCCATAACTCAATGAGGACACAAAAGTCAGAACCAGTATTCCAGCCTATAGCTGATATACAGGGGGTTAGGCTGGTATTGCATGCCCAAAAGGTACCATTTGGACCAGACAGGTAGTAATCTCCTGGGCCAACACTGGTAGTAGAATTACAAAGTTGTTGATAAGCAGCAGGTATTGTTCCGACACAAAGTCCTTGCCCTGACACCTCAGAGAGAGTTAGTTTATGTTGGGCAGAGGGGTAGCAGTTTACTGGAGGGCTAGTATGGTTAGAGAAATCACCCATTATGGCCAATCCTTCGTAATAGGGTGGAGTCGAAACCAGGCATAACCAACATTCTTGGGTCCTGTCGGGATCAGAGTGATTTAGTACCTGAAAGGCTCCTGTCACTAGATTAAGGAGTCTATCTCCTGACCTAGGCTTCCAAGGTTGCATAGTGGGGCCCGTGGTGGTTGGGCCAGGAGAAGAAACAGAAGTATTTGGGGTTATTGGCCATAGGGGCTGAGGTCTTGGTTGAGAAGGCCTCTTCTGATCTGATATGACCGGGTTGGGGCCCACCGATCTGGTAGCAGGTAAGGTCTTTTGAAGCCTAATTTTAAAAGTGAGGCCTATATCTTTTTGATTTTTATAAACCTTAAGGCCCCATCTAAAACCTTGTGAAGTCCAAATCTGTCGTTTGGCTTGGGGAGTAAATTGAATCAACAGGGGATTGCACCATCCTTTGGTTTTTCCCTGGGGTTTGCATACCCCTGACTCGACCACTTGGAGGAGCGTATTAAGGGGGGCAGGCCCCCCCAGCTTTCCCAGGTTTTTCTTTTTACCGTAATGTAGTCCCAGGAAGAGGAGGGTTTCCAATAAGTGTCTCCCGAAGTTTCACAGCCCCATGAAGCACAAAAATGTTGATCTGCCCACCCGCATTTATGATTGAGAGTTCTATTTCTATGGGTGCCAGGACATATATAAATTCCCCATACCCCACTGCCAGGGGGACCCCGTAAAAGGACCCTCCCAACCGAATTGACGCAGCTTGGATTGGTGGCCCGTCCTGGGGTAATTCGTTCAGGTGCTCGGCCCCCAGGAGGTGGCCAGAAAATATCAGGAACTGCCCAGTCGGTGTCTGCTCCAAGGGCAAGGGCACAGAGATCTACTTCTAAATTGGGCCAATGGGGCTGGACCCCAATAGAGGAACTTGTCATGACTATATCCCCAGCCTGGTTTTCAATGACCCAAGTATAGTTGTAAATCTGATGTGGAGTCGCATAGGTTATTTCCAGACTTAAAGTGAGACACAAGGTTATTAGGGCTCCCCACGAGTCAATCTTATCTTTAGTGGATTTTGAGTGCGGTGAAGTTTCCATCTGGCTTTCGAGTTCGGGTTGTCGAACTGGTCTTCGGGGGCGGCGGCTTTGACGTGGGAGGCGTGGACCCAGGCGGCGATGCCGTCTACCTTTAGGGCTGTGGGTGTCATCATCAGTACAGTGTAGGGTCCCTTCCAGCGCGGTTCCAAGTTCTTGACCTGATGTCGTCGCACCCAGACCACATCCCCGATCTGGAATTGGTGTGGTACCACAGGTTGGTTTAGCCGTTCTTGGTATGCAGCTGCCAGAGGTTTCCACACCTCCCGTTGTACTATTTGGAGCGCCCGCAGATGAGCCTGGAGAGAAGGGGTATTAGCAAAACTACCTATGTCAGAGTCTAGGAAGTGGGCTGCTGGAGGAGGGGCACCATATAGGACTTCAAAGGGAGTGAGTCCATGAGGGCCAGATGTATTCCGGGCCCGATATAGCGCTAAGGGAAGAAGGGCCACCCAGTCTCTTTCGCCAGTTGCAAGCGTCAATTTAGTTAAAGTCTCCTTAATAGTTCTATTCATGCGCTCTACCTGTCCTGAACTCTGGGGGCGGTATGCACAGTGTAATCTCCAATCAATCCCCAGTAATGTGGCCACCAACTTACTTACCCGGGAGACTAATGCAGGGCCGTTGTCGGAGCCCAATGCCTGTGGCATACTATACCTCGGGAAGATTTCTTCCAACAACTTCTTGGTGACGACTTTGGCAGTTTCATGTTTGGTAGGGTAAGCCTCTACCCATCCGGAGAAAGTGTCCATGAACACCAGCAAATAGCGGTATCCATATAGTCCAGGCTTGACTTCTGTAAAATCAATCTCCCAATGAGTCCCGGGTCGGTGCCCTCGCACTATGACCCCGGAACCCACCTTATTATGTCCAGCATTAACTCGTGCACACGCGGTGCACCTCTTGGCCACTTGTTGTAAAATTTTGTCCTTTCCCAACAGATGGTGGGTGTCCTCCTCTCTTTCAAGGAGGATCTTCATCTTTTTGTGACTCAGGTGGGTTAGCTTATGAAGTTGGTCAATCAAGTAATAGGTCATATGTTGGGGCCACACTGGTTTTCCTTTGAATATCCACTTCTGAGTTTCAGGCTAATAGGTGGCCCCCATTTCTTTTAGTAAGTTTTGGTCCTCCTGACTATATTGAAGAGTAGACCCTCGCTTTATTTTCTTTATGGTCAGGGTCTGAGAAATTGCAAAGTCTTTCTGTTGTGCTTCCTTTTTGGCAGCCTCATCTGCCAGGCGGTTGCCTCGAGCCTCGGGGCTGTTTCCCTTTTGGTGACCTGGACAGTGAATGATGCTCAGCTTTAGAGGCAAGAACAATGCCTCAAGCAAGGCTAATATCTCAGTCTTGTTTTTAATCTCTTTTCCTTCTGAAGTTAATAGTCCCCTTCTCCAGTATATCTCCCCATGAATATGTGCAGTGGCAAAGGCATAGCGGCTATCAGTATAAACGTTGAGCTTCTTACCTTCCGCCATCCGGAGGGCCTGAGTCAGGGCGATGAGTTCGGCCCGTTGTGCCGAGGTGCCAGGTGGTAGGGCCTTAGCCCAAATTACCTCAGTCTCAGTGGTGATCGCAGCCCCTGCTCTTCGTTCTCCGTTGTCCAGAAAGCTACTCCCGTCGGTATACCATGTGAAGTCAGCATCGGGGAGGGGCTGATCGGTCAGGTCAGGCCGAGTGCCGTGTACCTTGGCAAGTATCTGGAGACAGTCATGAGTTTCTGGACCCTCCGATAGGGGGAATAGTGACGCCGGGTTGAGGGCTACCACAGGACCAAAGTGTACGCGGTCAGCGTCCAGCAGTAGGGCCTGGTAGTGGGTCATGCGAGTATTTGAGAGCCATCGACTCGGAGGTTGTTTAACTTCCACTGCATGAGGAGCCAGAACTGTTATCAGTTGTCCCATAGTTAGCTTACTAGAGTCCTTAGTTAGGAGAGCAATTGCTGCAACCATTCTCAAACAGGGAGGCCATCCTGTAGCTACCGGGTCAAGTTTCTTAGACAGGTAGGCAATTGGGCGCCTCCATGGTCCCAACCTTTGGGTTAAGACTCCTTTAGCATAGCCTTGTTTTTCATCAACAAATAATTCAAAGGACTTACTTAAATCAAGAAGTCCCAATGCTGGGGAAGTTAATAAGGCCTTTTTGATAGCCATAAAGGCTCCTTGTTGCTCACTCCCCCAGGTAAAGAGGGTACCTGGTTTTGTGAGTGAGTAGAGCGGTGCAGCCATCTCTGCAAACCCTGGGATCCAGATCCGGCAGAACCCCGCCGTCCCCAGGAACTCCCTCAACTGTCTTGGGCTCTTAGGCACTGGAATACTCAGGATTGTCTGTTTTCGTGCTTCCGTTAGCCATCTTTGTCCAACTCTGATCTGGTAGCCTAAGTACGTAACCTGCTTTTGACATATTTGGGCCTTTCTAGCCGAGGCCCGATACCCCAGAGTTCCCAGGGTGACCAGGAGGGCCTTCGTTCCCTCTCTACAATTTTCCTCAGTTTCTGCAGCCAGGAGGAGATCATCCACATATTGAAGTAGGATTAAAGCAGGGTGATGAACCCTAAAGTTGGCCAGGTCCCAGTGTAACGCCTCATCAAATAAGGTGGGGCTGTTTTTGAACCCCTGGGGGTGCCTAGTCCAGGTGAGTTGCCCCGATAGCCCCAACTCTGGGTCCCTCCACTCGAAGGCAAAAATAGGCTGGCTCTGTGGATGAAGCCTTAAACAAAAGAATGCATCCTTGAGGTCTAAGACCGTATACCAAATATATGTTGGCGGTAATCCAGTCAGCAAATTGTATGGGTTAGGGACTGTTGGGTGTATATCTTCTACCCTTTTGTTGACCTCTCTTAGATCTTGCACAGGGCGATAATCGCCCGTGCCAGGCTTTTTGACTGGAAGGAGGGGTGTATTCCAGGGAGACTGGCAGGGGGCCAAGATTCCCTGGTCTAGGAGTCTTTTAATGTGGGGCCGAATTCCTCGGTAGGCCTCTTGAGACATAGGGTATTGTTTGATAGAAACTGGAGTTGCGGTTGCTTTGAGGGGTATAATTAGGGGTGTCTGTTGGGTGGCCAGCCCCATTCCTCCCGTTTCTGCCCAGGCAGATGGGAAGTTGCTCAACCAGTCAGTTATGTTCTCAGCCAGAGGCCCCTCAGGGGGCCTCTCAGGCTCATATAGCCGGTATTCATCTTCCAGGTTTAAGGTTAGTACATGTAACGGCTGTCCCTGTGGCCCTGTAATATGGGCTTTAGTCCCCTCAAAATGAATCTGTGCTTTGAGCTTGGTTAATAGATCTCTCCCAAGCAACGGGTAAGGGCAATCGTGTACATGCAGGAAAGAATGAGTCACCTTACCAGTGGAGAGTAGTACTTTTCTTTTGGTTGTCCAGCGGCACCTTTTTCCTCCAGTAGCCCCCTGGACCCATGCTGATTTGTCAGACAGGGGTCCTGGAGATGTGGTGAGCACTGAGTGTTGAGCTCCGGTATCCACCAGGAAGGTGACAGGTTGGCCCCCCACGTTGAGGGTTATCCTGGGTTCAGGGGGGGGCTCCTGACCCTGACCCCCCTAATCTTCGAGGTTGAGTAGGGTGGTTTGAGGCCGAATCTTACGGCGTGGCCCCCTTGGTCTATTTGGGCAATTGCGGGCCCAGTGACCTTTCTTCTTACAGTAAGCACATTGGTCTTTATCTATTGGGCGGCTCTCTCGATCTCCCAGGTCCTGTCTATCCTGTCTCTGACCTGTCACTACGGTGGCCAACAACTTACTGAATTCTCTATTTCTCTTACGCTTCGTAATATTTTCTCTTTCCTCTGCTTCTTTTCTCAGCCTCTCATCTCTTTCTTCCTGCGTTTCCCTCTTGTTAAAAATCTGCTCTGCTTCTTTTAACAAATCCTGTACTGAACTCTCTCTTAAGTTTTCTAGCCTTTCTAACTTCTTTCTGATATCTGGGGCGGATTGCCAAATGAAGGACATGGCCACGTTGGTTGCCTCATCTGGGCTTTCTGGATCATAGGGAGTGTACATACGGTATGCCTCCTTAAGTCGTTCCAGGAAAGCAGAGGGGGATTCCTCTGGCTTTTGAGTCACTAACTTAACCTGGGCCAAATTGGTAGGGCGTCTTGCAGTCCCTCGGAGACCCGCTAAGAGCAACTGGCGATAAAGACGTAGGTGTTCCCTAACGCGCTCAGTGGAGAAATCCCAATTGGGTCGTTCCAGGGGGACGGCAGCGTCAATCCTGTCGGGCAGCTGGGTAGGCAGCCCGTCATCTCCCGGAACATTTTTGCGGGCTTCCAAGATGACTCGTTGTTTTTCCTCAGTGGTCAGCAGTGTCTGGAGCAGCTGCTGGCAGTCATCCCAGGTGGGCTGGTGGGTCACTAGAATGGACTCAATGAGGGCTGTCAACTTGGACGGGTCCTTTGAGAAAGGGGGGTTATTATTTTTCCAATTATATAAGTCAGAGACGGAAAAGGGCCAGTATTGGAGTTGGCGGTCAGGCCCCGTCCGCAATGGAAGAGCCTGAGAGGAAGGACCGGAAGGGACCTCCCGACGCCCCTGCAACCGCCCTGCCACTGGAGACGAGGTGGGTTCCTCCGGTGGTTCCTGGCTGGCGGCCGCCCCCTCTTGTTCAGGAATGGGGCCTGGACCCCTGTAAGGAGGTGGTTGTTCAGGTAGAAGGTCCAGAAGGGGGCCATCATCTGCTGGCAGCACCGGAGGTGTCCTTTTACGCCCGGAGGTCTCTGCCGGTACCGATTTTGTGAGGGCCGGGTAAAGGGCAGAGTTAGCCGGGGTCGGAATCAGTGGGGGAGGAAGGGAGGGAGCTGATGGTGTGGTTTTTGGGCAAGGGGGAAGGAAAGGCTTTACCCATGATGGGGGATCTTTGACCAGAGAACCTGGTCAGGATGTCCATGGGGTCCAGGGTCCATGACTTTTGCTTTCACCTGCAAAATAACTTCTAGGTTAAAGGTGCCATCTCGTGGCCAGCCCAAGTCAAAGGTTGGCCACTCAGATGAACAGAAGGTGTCCCATTTTCCTTTTCGCACTTCCACTGAGAGATTGTGGGCGATGTCACGGACTTCCTTGAAGTGCTGTAAAGTTAAACTTTTGGGGGTAGTGACAGTTTGTCCCATATTTTCAGATAGATAGAAAACACTTATCACACTTACTACCACAATTAGACAGACAGAACACGACACAAGCCGCGTGGCACGAGATCGGCGCAAAACTGAAAGCAAAAGTTCAATTGGAGACTGTGATGGAGGTCCGGTTCCTTCGTCTCCCAGATGGAACATGTAGCCTTGGAACAGGGGCGAAGCCCCAAAAAGTCCGAGTCGGCTCGTACTTTCAAACAGACGGGGAGCCAAAAATTGGCTCCCACTCAGATGAGAGTCGGTGGGACTGGAACCCACGACTAGTGGGACTCGAACCCACGACAGTAGACCCTCTCAGATGAGAGCCGGTGGGACTTGAACCCACTCAGACCCTCTCAGATGGGAGTCAGCAGTGGGACTCGAACCCACTCAGACTCACTCAGACACCCTGGGATGTCTCCCAGAGATCGCGGAACAGAAGTCCTAGCCCGTCAGCTCCTTCTTACTTTCCGCCTGATACGGATGACCTGATCAAGTCTCAGATTGCAAGCAGAACAGACACAGAAGCACACAACAGAAAAGACAGCAACATACAGCAGAAAAGACGGCTGGCCAGCTTACCTCCTGAAGGTGGGTCGGTGGTCCCTGGGTGGGGGGGTCTCAGATCTCGCTGGGGCCTCCAAATGAAAGATCCCCAGAGGGTATCTTTCGTCTGAGAGACCCCTGCCCAAGGATCAATGAATCCAGGCGTTCGGATGCAAACAGCAAGAGGCTTTTATTGGATACTCGGGTACCCGGGGCGAAAAGTCATTCAGGAGACTTTCGCGCCCCCTTGGTGGAAAGCTGGGGTTTTTATAGGGTTTTAGAGCAAAAGCGTGGGTACAGAAGCGAGAAGCATGGTTACAGGGGACCGATTGGTACGTTTACATGAGACCGCAGTTTGCGTCAAAGTTTGGCAGGGACGCCAGGATTCCAGGAACTGGGTGGTCAAAACGGTCATGAGGTCATGATGACCCCTTAACGTGGCCCGCCACCTGTTATTTTGTTTTTCCCTATCTCAGCTGGAGCAATCTCTGACAGATATCCCATGAGGGTGGTCACAAGAAGTTGTTTTTAGCTCAACAGGGGCAGCCTGACCGCAGATATCCCAAGTGGGTGACACAGCTGGGTTTCTTAGTAATTTTCCAGCTTTTCATCTGGCCTTCAGAGTTTTACAAAACAGTGGTGTCTCACAAAATGGCGTTAGCTATGTTTAACTTAGGGTGAGGCAGGGGGCTTTCAGCTTTTGTAGTAAGTCCTAATGATCGTTTGGATTGCCTCAGTGTCTTTTGTTATGTCCCCCTTTTTGTTTCTGATTTAGCTGATTTGGATAGTTTCTCTCTGCCTTTTAGTTAGTTTGGCTAAGGGTTTTTCTATCTCACTGATTTTCTCAAAGAACAAGCTCTTGGTGTCATTGATTCTTTTAATTGTATTCTTGGTCTCTAATTCATTGATTTCAGCTCTGACTTTGACTCTTTTCAATCATCTACTCTTTTTGGGTGTGTCTCCTTTTTTTCCCTTGCTTGTAGAGATGTTTCCAATTTCTTTGTGGTGGCATTTAGTGCTATGAACTTTCTTCTTAGCACTGCTTTGATTGTGTCCCATAAATTTGGGTAAATTGTGCCTTCATTTTCACTAAATTTTAGGAAGTCTCTAATTTCTTTTTTCATTTCTTTCCTGACCAAACTGTCATTGAGTAGAGAGTTGTTTTGTTTCTATTTGTATGTGCTTTTTATTATTATTATTATTATTATTATTATTATTATTATTATTATTATTTAAATTTCTGTTGTTGTTGAGGTGTACTTTTAGGCCATGGTAGTCTGATAGCATACAAGGAATTATTTCAGTCTTCTTATATTTATTGAGGCTTGCTTTGTCCCCTACTATATGGTCAAATTTTGAGAAGGTTCCATAAGTTGCTGAAAGTAAAGTGTATTCTTTGTGAGTTTGGGTGGAAAGTTTTGTAGACATTTATTAGTTCCATTTGATTTAGGACCTCTGTAAGTGTTTTTATTTCCCTAGTTAGCTTCTGTCTAGATGATCTGTCCCTTAGTGGAGTGGAGTGTTGAAGTCTCCCACTATTAAGGTGTTGGCATAATGTGTGATTTAAGCTTTAATAATGTTTCATTTACAAATACAGGTGCTCTTTTATTTGTGGTATAGTTGTTCAGGATTGTCATGTCCTCCTGGTGTATTTTTTCTTTAATTTTAATAAAGTGCACTTCCTCAGCTTTTTAAATTAATTTTGGTTGAAATTCTATTTTATTAGATATTAAAATAGCTATCCCAGCTTCTTTTTTGGGACCATTTGCTTAAAAGACATTTTCCATCACTTTACACTGAGGTAGTTTTTATCTTTGTTGTATAGGTGTGTTTCTTGGATGCAGCAGAATGCTGGATCCCATATCCACAACCATTCTGTTAGTCTGTGTCTTCTTATTGGAGACTTGAGTCCATTGATGTTGATAGATAATAGTGACCAATGAATGTTAGTTCCATTCATTGTGAAGTTAGTGGTGTTACTGTGTTCCTATGTTTATTTTAATTTTTTGGTTGTGTTTTCTTGGGTGTAGTTGATTTTGTTGAATTAGAGTTTTCCTTCTGGTATACTCAGTAGAACTGATTTGCTGTGTAGATATTGTTTAAGCTTAGTTTTGTCATGGAATATTTTTGTTTTATTTTTATTTTTGTGTTGATTTGAGAGTTTTGCTGAGTATAGCAGTCTGGTTTGGCATCTGTGGTCTCTTAGAGTCTGGATGCCCAATCCCTTTTGGCTTTCGTAGTTTCTTCTGAGAAGTCTGGTGTGATTCTGATAGATCTACCTTTATATGTTACTTGGCCTTTTTCCCATGCTGCTGTTAATATATTTCTTGGTTCTTTAGATTTAGTGTTTTGACTATTATGTGACATGAGGGTTTTCTTTTCTGTTGTAGTCTATTTGGTGTTCTGTAGGCCTCTTGTATGCTCATAGACATCTCTTTCTTTAAGATGGGAAACTTTTCTTCTATGTTTTTTTTTTTTTTTTTTGAAAATATTTTCTGGACCTTGGAGACTAAAATCTTCATTTTTGGCTATTCGTGTTATTTTTAGATTTCATCTTTTCATGGCGTCCTTGATTTCTTGGATGTTTTGTGTATGTAACTTTTCTGATTTTACTTTTTCTTTTAGAGATGTGTCAATTTCTGCAATTGTATCTTCAGTACCTGAGATTCTCTCTTCTGTTTATTGTATTCTATTGGTGGATGCTTACCTTTATTTCTCCTGATTTTTTTTCTCCCAGTTCTACAGCTCCAGGTTTTTCTCTCTTGGTGTTTTCTTTATTGTTTCTAATTATGTTTTCATGTCTTTCCCCATTTCCTTCATTGGTGAATGTGGATTCCTGCCTTTTCAGGATGTTCTCTATTTTTGTTTGTTTGTTTGCTCTCTATATGCCTCTGCTTGTGCCTCTACACATGCCTCTATTTGTTTGGCTATATTTGTCTGTATTTCTTTTAGAACTTTGTTCATTGCCTCTTTATGCCACTCTAATAACTAAATAAGCATAGATTTGAGATCATTTTCCTGTGTTTCCATTGATTTTGGTGGTTGCTGGTGAAGCTATGATTTCCTGATTTCTGTTGAATAAGTTTTCTTATGCCACCCTGAGTCATCTGCTTATCAATGACCTTTGCTCTTTGTTCCTGGAGTCTGTACTTCAAACTGGGTCCTGTCTGTCTCTGGAGTCTGGAGTATCCTTCAGAAAGATGAAAGAGGTCCACTGGTTTGAGAGTGGATGTTGGTGTTTCAGCTGTAGGTATGGGAGGAAGGTTGTAAGCTTATGTGTACAAGTAGGGGAGTGTGAGTGAAAGTGTGCCTTGAAGGACCAAGTGCTAGAGCTTGTAGATGCCTGGAATTTGGAGCTAAGCACAGGAGGGGGTACAGGTACTGGTATTGTTATTGGGCACTATGTGCATGCCCAGGTGCCATGAATACCTCAGTGGCCTACAGGCTTGTCATTCTGTCCTCCTTGTATTCAGATCTGTCTGGACTCCAGGAACTGTTTGCCTGGACTCCACTGGGAAATCTACAGAACAGGAGCTTCAATGTTGAGAATGCTGTTCCAAGGATCTCTATCTTGCACAAAGAGGGGTGTGGGTGGAAGGAACCTGATGTCTGGCTGCTGGTATAGAGGGACCTCGGATCTGGGGCTCGGCAAGCACTCACTTGAAGGTGCACTCAAGCACTTGCAGGCCTAATTGGAAGGCAAGGTGTTCCTTTGTCTCTATTCCCAGATTTGGCCTTGCAGAGGCAAATGAAAATGTAACAATCTGTCAGTTCATTGGTGTCTGCTGTTTGTCGACTGGGCAGGGAGACCCTTACTTGGGGCAGTCACCTCTGCCATCTCAGTCATTGAGCATGGAGACTCCTGCTTGGAACGTTGCCACCTGCCACAGCCTCATTCCTGGAAGGCCTATACAGCCACTGCCTCTGCAGTCTTGGTCACTGAGCAGGGAGTATCCTGCTTGGGGTAACCACTGCCACCTCTGCTGAGCAGGGAAGCCTGTGCTTGGGGAAAAGGGAAGTGAAGCTGAGTCGAATATTTGCCACTCTCAGGCCCCAGAGAGGTCCATGGGTGACCTGGATCTAAACTGGGTTAGCTCACAGGTTGTCCCCTCTCACCCAGGAAGCCTCAGTGTAGATGATTTGGATTCAGCCACCATCCCATCCCCTCCCATTCACCAATTTCGGAGTTTGGGATCCTGTGCCCCTCAGATGTTTGCCACAGTCTTCGACTCCCCATTTTTACTATTTTAATTCTACTGAGTCCTGAGCATGGGAGATCTTTCCATCTTCTGATTTCTTCTTCGATTTCTTTCTTCAGTGACTTTTTTTTTTCTTACAAGTCTTTCACTTGCTTGGTTAGAGTTATACCAAGGTATTTTATGTTGTTTGTGGCTATTGTGAAGGGTGTTGTTTCCCTATTTTTTTCTCAGCGCATTTATCTTTTGTATACAAGGTGGCTACTGATTTTTTTTTTTTTTACTTAATTTTGTATCCAACCACTTTGCTGATGGTGTTTACCAGTTGAAGGAGTTTGCTGGTTGAATTTTGGGGGTTGCTCATGTGTAATATTATATCATTTGCAAAAAGTGGTAGTTTGTCTTCTTCCTTTCCAATTT